CTACTACTACTACTACCACTACTACTACTACTACTACTACTACTACTACTACGACTACGACAACAACAACTACTACTACTATTACTACTACTACTACTACTACTACTACTACTACTACCACTAGTACTATATTACTACGACAGCTACGACGACTGGACGATCACGACCGCTACTCCTGCTACTGCTACTATGACTTGTCTACTGCTACCACGACTGTCTCTACTGCCAGCACGANNTTCCAGATGTTGGTATCTCCAATGCTGTGCTTATGTGTGTTGGTCAGGTGGTTGGTTTGAAGACACTGTTGGCCAAAGCCGTCGGCATCGTCTTCAGCGTCTCTGCGGGTCTTCCCTGTGGTAAGGCGAGCAGAGTCGTGTGCTTTTCGTTCGCTGGATGAGGCATGTAGAAGATCTTCGCTAAGTTTGACCAGTTCCTGGCCAGGAAGGGCCCATGATCCACAGTGGTGCCATCATTGGTGCGGTCGCTGTCTTAGACCTCCTTTGTCCTTTGACATGTCGTCGTCACGGTCGTGGTCTTCAAGACATCATCTTGGGCGTCGCGTCATCTTGGGCGTCGCGGGCTTGCAGCAACAGTAGCACTGGTGGGGCACCTGCAATCAGCGCTAGATTGCATCGTTGTTGCTAGAGTCTCGGGCGCAGATTGAGGTCGTAGCCGGTTTCCGAATAGACCGCAACATCAAGCCGTACGTCTACACCCAGGACGCGACCTGTTTTCTGTCGCATCATTGAGTATTGCAATTGACTCAGCATGCAAGTCATGAGGATGTTCCTGTGGGAAGTGTCGAAAACACATACTCCGTTCTTTGGGGGGCGCGCAAGCGCCAGAAAGGTGTCGAAGCCTCAAAGGGCGAAGGGAAATCGACCATGTGGCTGTGCACGGGTAAGTGCCGGATCCTGGCAAAGCTCAACGGAAACCCTTCGACATGAAAGGAAGACAGAGAGGAGGCAGGCTGGCATCGTTGGTGTGGTGTAGTTTTGCAGGGGGGCTTGTCATTGGTGCTCATACCATACTGCATCTGCATGGCAGAACTTGTTACTATTCCGCGAAAGCATGTGGTCAACGTCCCGTTTTCGTTTACACACTTTGATGTGGTTTCTCGCTGTTTTGCTGTCGCCCTCCCTCCCTCCCTCCCTCCCTCCCTCCCCCTCCCTCCCTTCCAGGAGGTTCGCGACCTGGTGGCTGCTGGCGCCTCTGCCGGCGTCTCCGCGGCTTTCGGCGCTCCACTAGGCACCACAAACCGCAGAACAGCAGGTTCACGGTATGGGGACCTGGTAAAGTAATGTAAAGTACGGAGCTTGGGTCCTTTAGGAATTCATGTCCCAATTTTCTGGCATTCACTACACTATGCAGACGTACAAAGCCAAGTCCACTTGCTGAAGCGGCGTCCTGAGGCTCGGTTCTCTTCGCTATCGAAGAAGGCTCCAGCCATATGATCCTTGACGTGAGTGTGGAGCTGCACTGTTGTCAGAGCCACTTGTTGCCTTGTTGCTTGATGACGTTTGTACTCTAGGAATCCTCAGATCATGCTGCTCAGCTGCATTGGGCTGGATGTCGGGGCTCATCCACTAGTTTGGGGGAATAGAAATACTAGTATCTGCCCTACTCCGAGCAGAGCAGTGGCCGCTCGTTTGATCACCCACCACTTACAGGCATGGTGCAGGGTTACCACCTTCGAACTGTCGTGTACATGATGTACACAAGCATTTTGCACTCCTCTGTACATGACACGCAGAGTATGTCATTATTTGCAAACCTTGAAATGCTCTCATATCTTGCATACAATATTTGCATATGTAAATACATAGTCAGAAATATATTACACTTATGCGACCTGTATGTATCGACGGCGTATGTAAGAACGTATGCATGGCTGAGTCTGTGTGTGTGTGTGTGTGTGCATCTAGATATGCATGCATGTACACTGCACACACAAGCAGA